GCACACACGCACACTAGCACACTATAGATAAAAAAGGATCTTTTAGTCGATCCGTTGGGAACTGAATCCCCTCACATGCAATTGGATTAGAAGCAATGACCTAAAGTAGATCTCTTCGATGAAAACCGCGAAGAAAATGAAGGTCTCCCGAAAACGTCAAACGCAGATGGAACCAGAATCCAAAACCCAAAAAGAATCCAAATAAATAGCCATGTCAGGGTTCTCGGCTTAGCCCTCTGCCATGTCAGCGAAATAAATATTTAAATACATGTATAGTGAATACCAGATTGAGGCAACCGTGTAGACATAAAATCGTTGTGGTTGGGGTTCTCGGCTTGGCCCCTTGCCATGACGATCGATAAAACAAATGGATAAAACACTGCAGGTACGTCAAAGGGACGTCTCCCTTTGATATCATTGTGACTTCTAGCCGTCTTCGTTGGCACAGGAACCGGAGTCACACCTGTGCCCCCTGCGAAATGAAATGTCCATCGAAGAAAAGAAACTAAAGCAGAAGTTTTACATCTCTTCAGATGGTGCACACACACACACACCCTGCCGCAGCAGGGTCATTTTCGCGGAAGAGATACGCCAAGATCAAAGATGCGGTTATAGCTCGCAGCCGGGCGTTCACTCATTTCAGCTGGGCTGGAATAAGCAAGGACTTGCAATCCGCTGGTCAAGGCCTGGGGCTGCTCAAGGGACAATTCGCTTGTCAGTTCACTCGTAATGACTGCTGGCCCTGTCCCCGATGTAGGTCAAAGTTGTAAGGTGTAGGAAGGCGTCGGTCACCATAATGGTAGGGGTTTTCGAAGTGTCGAGTTGGAATGTTGAAGAAGGATCGCCAATAGTCCGATGTGTGACGAGCATAAGTGTCATCTCCCGTCAAGAAGTAGAAATATGATTCAGGTTCCCTGGTGCGGGCGAAGCCCTGATGGTTGATTTCTGTGACCCAAAGTTCCCTCTTTTGATTGTCGAACGAAAAGATCTTGGTGTCCGTAAAAAACGTTTGGGGTTGTGGTTATGTTCTCATAAGAGGTAGTCGGCGGAGGAAATGGTGCACCCAATTGTGGAGGGTCAGCCGAGTATGAGGCAGGGGCTGTCGGTTCAATGGCCGCAAAGGGAGGAGTATTCCCCATTGGTGTCGGAGCCGCTGAAGATGCCGAAATCGCTGGCGGTGATGTAGTCCCAGGAGGGAGACGAGGAGCAGGTTTAGAAGCAGGCTGTCGAGGTTGAAGAGCAGGCCAAGGCAGCCCGGCACTGGTCGCGTCCCGCTTGTGATCCATCTTGAATAAATCGAATTGAAACAAAGTTGCGGTATTCAAAATGTGGTCAAACGTGTTCATCAGAGTGCACGGAAAGGAAGGTGAAAGTAAGAAACCAAAAGACCAAATGGGAAAAGTAGGGAAGGATAATATTCTTTGGGGTTTTTGGCTTAGCCCAGCGCCATGACAGTAGAATGGTTGAGATTGTCAACACTTTTGCTGGAAGAGGCCGATCTGGATGACCCTTATTTAGGGCAAAATCACCACCTTGGCGAACTTTGTGACAGGATAATCGCAGAATAAACGGTTGGATACTGCCAGGAACAAATGGGGAGCTGATCAAAGAAATATATTGACGAAGGCGCCACTCAGGTCTGTACTCTTCGATCAATTGCATGCTGGAAGTAGAGTTGGGGGCTTGCAAGATGTCCCCGGTAAGATCAGCATAACGAAGTTCAACGTCCACCGGCTCCAAGCGGATGTCCCTTTGATGCATCAAACGTTGGCAGATACTCTGGCGGAGACTTCCAACCGCGCGCGCCGAAGCCATCTCAGGTATTCAATTCCCCAGCCGTCGCGAAACGAAAGTTGCTCGGGCGTAATGAACGGAACCTTTGAGAATAGTCTGAGCTGGCATGCAACATGTCCTGGAGGAATTGGTAGTCCACAAATGACAAGGATCGGTCTATTGGGAGGAGGGTCGTCACCAGCAGGAACCTTTCCAGGTCCAGCATACCATGAGCAAGTCTGTGATCCGGTAGGAGTTTCAATCGCCGATGTGGAACGGTATGGGTGAGGTCGTAGGCCATGTTTCGGCGCCATGGGATCGCGGATGATAACGTTGAATGTAAGGGGAACCCCAATAGCTGCAGGAAAAGATCGTTGATATAAAAGAAAAAGCCCCCGAAGCACAGTTACATAAAAGAAAACAGATCAAAGGTCGTCATCACGAAGCTGTTTTTTTACCGATGAAGGCAGGCAATTATAGACACTAGAGTCCGACATGTCGGCATTGCTGCTGCTCACATTCGATGGCAGTGGATTCCGAGGTGCCAGAGGTGTTGGAGTCGCCATGTGTAGTCAGCGTCATCGTAAACCCAGAAAACATCTTCTAAAGCATCCAGGAATCCTTCTGCGCCCTCTTCATCATCTTCGGCCCAATAGCCGTCATTTCCTTCTAGTTCACCTTCTTCCAGAACGAGGAAAGATCTTCTCTGTCCAATGCCAGAGGGTTGCATCATAGGATTGTCTACTGCTGTTTTTTGTAGTGCAAAACATGCCCAGCAAAAGATCTCTGAGTTCTTGCACATTGTACTGGTCAAGTGTTCGTCCACGATGTGTCATGATACTTGTGATGCTAGACTTACAAAGATCAATGCTAGCAAGTTGTCACCCAAGGGAAAAGCCATTCTCTGTTGTGCTCTTCTGTTTTCGTTGAGTTGTCTGAATGCTGCCAATGCAGGTTCATCTGTCCATGGTACAGTGACATGCGGTTCTTGTCCTGGTTGTGCTGCTGCAACTTGTGCGAGGTCAGCTTGACGTTCTTCATGTTCTTGACGACGTTGTGCAACAAATGCAAGTGCATCTGGGCTGGCGGTCAACAAATCTGGTATAGATCCATCCAAGACTCAATAAGTCTGTTTCCAGGTTAGTTGAAATCTAGTCATCATTTTTTGCAAATCCATGGTGCCTCTGTTGTACTTCGATGCAAGAACACGTTTTGGGCACCCTTGATGAAATGAGGTCGCAAGAATCTTTTGAAATAGCTCACACCATCCTTGGGGTCTCTCAACAAATCTCGGTCCAGTACAGTATAGTCTTTTGTACTGAGATGCTTCACCTTCCAATCTGTTCCTCAAAGCCGGTCGAAGATTTTCTGGTTCTAGCTATGTCACACCAATCATCGGTTGCATCTTCAAAGGCAAAGAAACTGGTTCCTCCATTATATGCAGGTGATAACCTTCGTGGTCATCTGCTGTGTCATATGGATTGAGGGTTGTTCGGGTGCTCGTCTCATTGCATACGAGTCACATTGATTCCATCCATCTGCCTCGACAATGTCGAAGTCATCATCATCATCATCATCATCATCATCATCATCATCATCATCATCCTAGCCATGGCGTGCCATATTGGGCTCTGCCTGGAGCTCACCTTCAATGAAGGATCACAGCTCCGCTACCACTTGAAAAGGGGCGCTAGCGTCTAGATTAGATCAGCTTGGAGCGTCTTCCCAGACAGCTAACACACCTTTGAAACTTGGCCAACAGCCAGTCGGTGCGGTGTCCACAGGATTACTCTATATCTCTCTTGAGCCTTGACAGGGTATGTAAATGTGCTCAATATTCATGCTATATCCACATAGGATCCAAGCCAAAACAAAAACAGTACGCTCCGTATGGTTCATGTACATCAACATGCATACGTGTTGCTACGCTATGCACTCTTCGTGGACGTGGTGCAAGTCCCATATGTGGCCGTGTAAAGACACGCATCAATGGCTTGCCCAACTCAGAGTGGTTCTGCGCGGCATATCAATATGTATGGCAAAGGAAGAATGTTGACAAGAGTTTGTTCCGGCTTTTAGCCGCGGAACTTAAAAATCGACGATGACGAAATTGTTGACCAAACAAAAAGTTTTGGAGATGATGGGGCGCACAATTCCCTGCAAATAGCTAGGCGCCGTCTTCATGGCATTTTGTGGCAATTTTCAGACTATCGATGTTCATAAAACATTTGCGGCTCGCAGAAATTTAATAGTAGATATTCCAGAAGGGCCCACAGGCTAGCGGACACAAGTGAGTGCCATTTTCTGAAGCGATTGCTGTTTGCTCAGCCGTGGCTGCCAGCCAGAACACCCCAAAGTCAGTCTAAATTGTGCACTGTGAAGGCTGTCGAGCTACGTGCATTATAGCTTAAATTAGTTTAAACTTTAAAGTCTGTATACACAAAACAACCCCATGGATGCCATCACCGTGCTTTAATTTTGACATGTTTTGAAATTTCCGGGAGATGCCGATCACATGCTGGAGCGCTAAGGAGTGGGATGATGCAGTTGAGGAAGCACAGAGACAGTCAAGTCTTTGCAGTTTGGCTTGTGTTTTCTTGACCGACACGCAGAGCGGGCTCGGTGGCCACGCTGAAGATCCTGAAGGATGTGGAAGTTGTTTTTGCCAAGCACTCTACGGGAAAGTGGATCCAGCAGCCTACCTCAGCACAGTCGAGGAGGAGCTGACGGAACAAGAGATGCTATTCAAGAAAAGCGATGCTGAGGCGATGGGCCAGGTTCTCCTCATTCGTGAAGAAGAAAATGATGCTTCCTGGACCGCGAGGAAGAAAAAAGCACTCCTAAAAGCTGCCGCCAAATGCAAGGAGAACCGCTACCGCGCGCCGTGGGGGTGCCGATGGTTTGCCGACTGGAAGGAGAACGTGGACACAGCCCATCGGCAAAGGCAAAAGTTTCACGTTTTCTACTTTGAAGGGAAAGTCGGATGTGGGAAAATTGCCTGGGAGGACAGGGCAGGGTTTGACAAGAATCGCATTGAACCGCAGAAAAGAAGCAACTAGCCAAAAAACATCCAACAAGATCAAGCAAAATCTAAAGTCCAAACTGAAACATGTTTTTTGTTGTTGCTGTGGCCATTTTGCCCCGACCAGAAGAACCGGACAACCTTGCAGGACCTCAAAGATGAGACGAAACTGCAGGAGGTTCGCGATAGCACGGGCCTAGGCAAGTCGCAAACCGCAGAGGTCGCATGGTTAGATCGCTTGCGCATCCCCTACGAGGAGCACGATGTGGGCGACTTCTACAGATTTCTATATTATCGTTCAACTCTGGACCCTTGGCATCCCTTGGCCATACTCTGAGTTTCCCGTGATTTCCTCGAAAATGCGATGTATGATGCCATATAATTTCATTCCAGGGAGTCCTGAAACTTGAATGCAGCTCCCGTCCTTTGACTCTGATGTGCTTGTCAAGTCATGCAAGAGGTTTGTTACAAGTGTTTTACTTTTGGGATATTTTGGGTGGCGCAGAGGGCGACATTGAGGCTGCATGTGGCACGACCAACATTTGTGGTTCCAGCATAGGTCGGCAGAGAGCAGCAGCATGATGTTTATTGAGACACTCAGTGGTCCTTGATCCAAGTGCAACGCAAGCTAGGCAAAAAACATATCTTGAAATCAAAATTGAAGTTTCTAAAAAACAATGTTTTTCTCCTGAGGTCCTCATCAAGTGCTCAGTAAATCACCGACAAAACTTATTACATCCTCCCAAAACATCGCTTGTTCCTGAAACTACCATGAAATCCCGATTTTATCTTCGAAACTAACTTATTTTTGAACCAGGGGCATCATCATCATCACCACCATCATCATCATCATCACCACCATCATCACCATCATCATCATCATCATCACCATTTTCATCTTCATCTTCATCGTCATCATCACCATCAATCATTTCATTAGTTGAACAATTGTCGTTTCCAGGCCTTCTAGAGCTCCAAGCTCCAAACAGAGCCGGGCTCCATTTCCAGCTCCAAATAGAGCCGGGCCTCCATATCCAGCTCTATATTTTTTTAAACGTGGGAAAGACAAGCCTTTCTGCAAAGGTCGAGGTCGAGGAATCTGGGATTACCTTGCGGATGACGAAGTCCATATATGACAAGTTCTGCCCACGGGTCGAGTTGCTTGAAGACTGAGCTGATCTGAGGGATTCCCGTTCATTGCTGGAGGTATCTCACTTGCAGATGGAGATATAGGAAATGCAGCAATTAAACATAATTAAACTATGGTGAATTTGCAACTTCCCTTCTCCTCAGGTGATGCCATCTACTCACACGGTGCTAAGTCCACTGCTCAGACTTACGCCTGAAGACGTGGATTTTCCAACGCCGATAGAGGCGGGCTGATTTACGCAGTGAGTTTGTTTGATGCCAATCGGCGCACAAGTTGCTCCGGACATGGGTGCACAAGTGTCCTTCTTGCATGTTGTGTTCAGTTTCGTTTTCATTTCCTTCACACCAGCATGTTTGCGCTGAAACTTCTTTGCACTCAAACGTCCAAAAGCATTGACAGGTGGAAGTGCCCACATGTAGTGGCGCTGAGAGTGCATGGCGATCAACTGCTACCGGGTGGGAGAACGCGGAGATCAGTTTCTTATCTGTGATGCAAGAGGGTGGATAGCTTTGGGCTAAGGGACGGCTAAGGAGGTCTAAAAAACCTTGTAGTTTGCCATGTTGCCGTTCTACTCTGACTTTTTCTGGGGCGCTTGAATCTCCCTGCCCGCAAATGATTTAAAACCCTGTCAGTGTAAAGATCGAGGGCTGTATACAGTTTTGCTCTACAAGTTGCTTAGCATAGAGGCACGGTTTAACCGCTGCTAGGTTTAAAAGGCATTTTGTGCGAAACTCGTTGGTTATGGAAACAGGATCGTGTACAAACTGCTTGGATAGAAGCATGGGAAAAGAAGGACGCAAGGAAATGGGAAGACAAGAGTGGCTGAAGAAGACAAGAGTGGCTGAAGGGTGCAAGGAAGAAATGGGGTAGGGCAGCGGCAGCTGAGCAAATCCCTGACAGAGGCAAAGAACCATTATGAATACATACAGTGTACAGCAGCGGAAATGCTCGTTAGCTGACGCGCGGGCCACTGACTTAAGCCTGTTTCCTTTTCCGCTTAACCAGGTTTCAAGCGTGAAATACTGAAACTTGATCTAGGGTTTCTAAAGCAAGTTGCCAGCAGTCCCTTCCAGTTCCTTGAGGAACAAAGCCAAGACATCTGTTCCACTGGGGTTTTGATTCTTGCTTGGTCTTGCTATGTTTCTCCATGCATATTTTCCCATAACTGTTGAAAACAAATGAAGCAGTGACACATGAAGTACCATTTCTGCCTTTTACTTGTGTCGCCTTTGTTTTAACCTTCATGCCTTAATTGTGACTTCTTGCTAGTTGCGGCTGTCGCGCTTTTGTGGCATGTGTCATCTAAGGTTTTGTCCGTGGTTGCGCTATCCTGGTTCTGAGGCGATTGGGAAGGGTCAATCTTCACTCAATTTTCAGTAACAATTGTGTGCCAAGACGAGGGCGGATGATGATTGTGATATTTATGTTCAACCCATGCCATGCCACTGGTTTTGTCGCATTCAAGTGCGCGAGAAATTTCCATCCCGCAATGGTCAATGCGCTCCCCTCATAAGTTGGTGGGGTGCCCTAAGCAATCTAATCACAAGGCGCAGAGGGCCGCCCCATGCCGCCCCGTTCTGAGGAATTTCTGCGATGTAATTGTCAGTGGCCCACGTGCTATCAGAGCCATGGGTTTCATAAAGCTCGACCAGCCTGTGGCGAAGCTGGCGGTGATGCACGTCGGATGCGAGGGATGCAGATCTGTTCTGAATCAATATTGTTCCTGGACCCTGAATAGGTCGATTCACATGCTTGCTTTTGAACTCCACTTTGAAGAACTGTTTGGTCCAACCGGGTCTTTTGCATCCGTTGTTCAAACTTGCTTTCTGCTTAACACCGTAGGCAACGACGATGAGGAATTGCGAGGATTCCGCGAGTGCGGCCCCACCGCTACACTTGGCACCTACAACCATGATGAAAACCTGAACATCAAGGTCCCCGGCGCCGGATGTGTCCAGATGAAAATGCGGTTCCACCGTTTTCCGCTAGTTTCGCCCAAGTTGGACACTCCATCGAAGATATCCTTTAGTGTTGAGACCCTTGACTTTAAGCTAAAGTGTGCATGTGTTTCTTTTGCGTTGCTTTGTGTTTTCAATTTCCAAAAACTTGCTTGCATGCCGTGGCAAAGGATTGACGGAGACACTTTTGAATTTGAAGAGCTAGGGCTGAAACCACGTCCACCGAACACACAGGCACACCGGTGGCTGGGTGCAGCCTAGAGGATATCCATGTCAGTGAGTGCTGTCCATGGAGTTGGTTGTGTATCCCGTCAGTTGCAGCAAGAACTCTTTTCACTCTTTTCCGTCAATTGCTCCTTTATTTGGAAATTCAATTCAATTCATGCAAAGACTGGGCGTCTTACACCTCCAGGCCCCGAGATTTCGAGGTTCACCGGCCCCAGAGGCGCAGCAGTAGTTGGCAAATGAAAACGCAAACGCAGCCCTGATAGGAACATCCAGAGAGGTTGGGTTGTTTCAAGTCTTGGGAATCCCAAAGAATTCCCATTAATATTTGGGGATCCCCATTAATATTGGTCTGAAATATTATTCTGTCAAGGCCGGACATTCCGACAATGATTTCTTGCATACTGCACTGCAGGTTGCTCTACCAACTAAGCTAAAGAGGCAGTGGCGCCCGAGGCAGTGGCGCCTGCCTGGTCCAAACCCTGCTGCGTCAAGTTCTGCCAGTGGCCATGCGTCTTCGCCGCGGGTGCAGACTGTTTGGACCTCAGGCTTTAGGAGTTGAAGGCCCATGAAGGCCCATCTCCGAGCATTTCCTTGTGCTACAATGGTGCGTAAGTATGTTTAGTGTGATTCTTTTGGTATATTCGTTGATGGGCGGCTTGTTGGATCAAACAACTCTATCAAATGGAAGGCAAGGAACTATTCCCCAATAACACCATCGTAGACAGTTTAATTATAGATTCATAGATGCGTTTAATCTTACTGGGTTGCTTAACCTTCAGAAAATTGCTCTTTCTGTTTTAATATGTTTAATACTTGTGCTTCTCAGGTACAAGCATCACAGCCTGAAGGGCATTTGCTTCTAAGTGGCCGTTTCAAGAGCGACCGCATTTTTACCGCCAAGCAGACTCTCAATTGAGATTTCTTTTAGAATGTAAGTAATACTCGAAGTTTTCCCTCTGCAATCTTCGCATGCATTCAGAATTTCGCATCGCCTTAAAACATGTTCTGGCTGTTGGTTTTTCCACTGGCATGAAGATGAGTGCCCAACATATTCATGTGGGCCACACCTCACCGATGAGGATCATGGGCTACATGAAGATGGTGGGGGCCCGGTTGGCGGTTCGTGGCGTGCCGACCTTCATGGTTGAGGCAAAGCCCGGCCAAAGTTTCGCCGAGCTAACGCGCATGGGTCTGGGCCGTGCCAAAGGCATGGTGGCTTTTTGTACAGCAGAATACGGAGCGTACACTGGAGCTGGATATGAGACGTTTCGTGAGCTGGAATATGCTCATGACAAAGAGTTGCTTCTCATTCCAATTAGACTTTGTGAAGTGTGGCCGCCGGCGCCAACTGATAATGAAAGAGGGACCTGGCAGAACAAACTGGTGTTCACAAACGGTCTCGTGTACATAGACGACCAGCGGATGCAGAATGCTGAAGGTGTTGCTGATCAGATTGCTGATTCTGTCGAACACTTAGGAATCTTCTGAGATGAGAGCAATAAGATCGGAAAACAGCGCCTGAAAGCGGTATTTTTGTCCGCCGGACGCACAGGCAGCGTTTCAATTTGTTGCTAAGACTGGGAAATGACTTCCTTTCAAATGCAATAGCACAAATCAATTTCCTTAACCCCAATGACGACCCTGCGGCACTTGCAGTGCAACAAAACCATGCTTGGGGATCTGAGGGTATCCAACAACAGGCCTTGTCATAGCCTTGTCGCTTGAAGGTCAGGACTATAGGGGCCATAGGTTTCCAATGTTGAAATGTCCCGTCTCTTTAAGACTTTCCAACTCTTGCTTTAAACCATGTTTTGATTTCACAGGGTTTCTGTCATTTTTTGCATCTATCAAAGGATCATTTTGACAATTCTGTGACAGTGATCACAACATATCCCTGCGCCTTACCAGGCCGCCATCGGTTTCTTGACCCAGGCGGGATTTCTCAACCTTTCTGGAGGTAAACCGCAGCTGAGAGAAGGGGTGAATTTTTTTCAACATCGACCTGAGATCTCCACGGTTGTTGCAGCCTGGCTCCAGTGGACGCTCCATGAGGCGTTTTAGTTGAGATATTCGTATATGAGCAGCGCAGAACAAATATGTTCACGTATTTGAAAGTTGTAACAAAGCACTGGGACGATGCACTTTCCAAACCTTGTCAAGCTTGCTGTGGAGAGCTAGTGCCTAAATCTTAGTACAACCAAGTGTGTCAATCACGTACTGGAAAGAGATTTGTTCTTTTTCCGTGGCAGACTTTGAGAGTGCTGCCATGGCGAACAGCGAGCGCAACGACCCGGACACCTGGTCCCTGCCCTCCGAATCCGGAGTGAAGCACGGCGTCGCGACGCCTACGCTGATTGGCTTGGAAGATGCGACGCCCAAGGAGATCCAACTTGACGAGGCTGGAATTGAAACTGGGGAAATAGAGGCAGAATTGTTGCGAGGAGTCAGCTTGAGAATTGCCCTGTCTGGTTTCGGTGTCTCGGATGTCATACTTTCAAACCTTTTGTATGACTTGTTTACCCAAATGTTTGTTTTTCACTGTTTTTCTGCTTCTGTTGGGATCTGTTCCGAAGAAGGCTCAACAAACATTTTCCAGGAAAGCATTGGAAACTTCCATCTTTGACCAGCATGTACGAGATCCAGAAAAATTGCGCCTACGATTTGAGCTTCCAAGCAATCACATTGCATCATTTCTTGAGCCATGATTGGCAGCTTGGACTACTAACCCCGTTGGCATTCAAAATGACTTTGCACGAGTACTCTTTCATGCGACTATTTCTAGGCGTTTCAGTTGGGAAAGTTGTGAGCTGCAAACCAGCTCTACAGTTCAAGTTCAAATACATCGCAAATCTGGATTCCATTTAAAACGCACTTTTGCAAGACTTGCGATTGAACTCAATCAAGCCTTTGGTTCATATTTGGGGAGGGAAAGATACCTGTATGGAAATAGTTCTTAGTTCTTGGCAATCTTGTCCAGTTTCCCTGGTTCTGGCCTGACCTTGTTCAGACAAGTCTTCTTCGCAGTCACCAAACCCAGTATGGAGCAAGTGTCTGATCCCATGGCAATGGCAGTCACCATCGCCCCCTCAGGTTTGGGTTCATCCATAAATTCGGCATGCCCCAAAAAACAGAATTTTGACGTCAAAAATAGCAGACAGAAAGATCCGCATGGGGCCCAGGAAGACCAGCCGCTGGGCAAAATATGGGTCGATGCTGCTTCTCTTCAACCTCCCTGCAGCTACCATGGCCACTTTTCTGGCCGCCATCCTGCTGGGTTTGTACATTGGGCCAACGCCGCAAGCATCGCATAATCTAAGCACCTGGGTTCAGAGATGCTGTTTGATGCTGTTTTCGGAGAGCTTGCTCTAAACTTTAACAAACATGTACAGAATCTGAAATTGATGGGTCACCTTAGGTAAGGAGGAGATCTTTGCCTTTGATTTTTGACAGACCGCCTAAACACCACCGCCATACCACGTGACACACATAGCACACTTGTACAACCACCTACACTTGTGACGATACCACCTACACTTGTGACGAAGCTAACCAAAGTAACAAGAAATTCTAAGGTAAGCGAATCTGAATCAAATTCTGCCGAGCCCAGGCCTTGCTGCTGCCCGGTTTCTGCCATGGCTGGTCTTCGTTTTCTTCCTCTGCTTCTGGCAGAGTCTGCGCAGCGTTTCCAGACGACCCTTGGTCGTGTTCCTTGACAAACTCTGCATCGCGCAGCACGACCCGGCACTCAAAGCCAAGGGCATCCGGGGGCTGTCGACTTTCCTGGATCGATCGGACGAGCTGACGATCTTGTGGTCCTCCCGATACTTCACCCGTTGCTTGGATGAATCGGGTATTCTGAAGTCATGATCTCGTGAGAGCTGGTTCTGCAGTTGAAAACGGTTGGTTTTGTGACCGCAGAGTGAACTCTGGCTTAGATTAAAATACACACGCGGTACGTATGCAGTGATTGCTGCGCGTGTGCGCATGAGTGGCGTCTTGCTATGTATGGGACAGGCGATGTCATCGCGCGTCAATCACAGCAAATTTTCATAAATGTTCAACCAAAGGATGCTTTTGTCAAAGTTTAGATTTGTGCTTTTATCAATTGCATCTTGTCCCTTAGATGGAAGCTGTTGCGTGACAGTTTCAGACTGTAAGGCCTTTGGTGTGTCTATGAGCTGGCCACGTTCCTTCGTCGTGGCCATACAAGACCGGTGAAATTATTTCCAGTGGCGATGGCATGGGTTTTGCTGCTGCAGACTGGTGCAGTTGGCGGTGTCGCTTGGACTTTGAGCTGCTGAAATCTGGTGAATTTTGGGTCTTCCAGGGATTCCCAGGCATTCTCAGGCGTCGCAGGGGCTTGAAAAGCTAAGGCTATCATCATTAACGAGCTCGGCAAGGGTATTGGAAATCCAGATTATGCACGAAGCTTCTGGTCATTTTTATGCCCTGGGCTTTGGGCAATTGTCATGATATTTCCTCTTCAGTATCTTTTGCTGGGCGTGATGGCCGACATCCTGGTTCTGGAGGAACAGTTCAAGCAGTTTTCCATCCAAAAATCCCAATGTTTCTGCTGCACCAGCGATCATCGACATCCTGACACTGGTGAGACGTTGATGTGCGACCGGAAGTTCGTCTATGAAGCTGTCAGAACCTGGTACAAATTCGACACAGCAGGAGAGGATGAAACCTGGGAGCATTTTGAGAAATTCGACCAAGTGGTGCGGACCACTTTACGCCGCAGGGTCATGGAAGGTGCCAACAATGCCATTCTTCCTTTCCGCATGATCTTGTACCTTGCAGTAGTTGTCACTGCGCCAAATCTGGTTGAACTGATGACACTTGAAGTTGAAGAAGGGTTCGGAAGACCGGACTTAGTTTATTGGGTTTGGAGAGTTGTAGGCTGGACCTCCTATGTTTGGGTGCGAATACTTGTTTCCATCTTAGTTGACATCGGCGTCTCCATCAAGCTCTCCAAATGGTGTTCGCGCTTCCTAAAAAGCATGTCCCGCCTCAAAGTTGCAGCAGTAGCATCTGTGCTCCAGTTTCTATTGGCTGTCATCACCTTGGGTGCCATACGCCTCTGTTGGGACCTCCTTTGGGATGTCGATGGCTCTGATTGGTTTCCACTGGTGATGGCAGCGTGGCTGTTCTTCATCACTTGGTTCTATGGAGTGGGCCCCTGCGGTTCGTTGTGCCGCTGATCCCACCAGCATCTCACCCGCTCCGGCCAAGCCGGACCCTATTTCTTGCCTTTGTGCCGCCGTGTGCTGCGAAGGGCGATTCAAAAACAGAATGCAAACGACAGTGGAAAAACAATGAAAAACATAATAATCCGCAGTCGGGAGTTTTCCCAACTTCTTGCCGTTTTGTTGCGATGGGTTGAAACCACCAACTACGTGAGATGCTTTGCGGATGTTGACAATACAGTCCAGTCCAGTTTCGCACCTGAAAAGCTTGAATAGTTTGAATAGCTTTGATTGTTTTGCCTGGCCTGCCAGTGTCCTGGGGTTCTCTTCGCTGGTCCAGATGGCAAGTATCTGGATGCCAAGAATACACATCGATTTATGGTCAGATGGCCAGTGACTCAGTGAAGATTGCTCATGACTCTCATTTCGATGCCTTTCCCGTGAGTCCTGAGGTAGACAGCTGCACCTGACATTCTTTAGGTGCGACAGTGGACGTGGATCTCTGGAGGGTTCCAGCAGCTTCCATATTATTAAGCAAAGCAATTTTGAAGGGAAAGCAAAAATGTATTCCAGTTGGCTTGGGCGAGGCTTGCACAAGTTGGAGTCTTGTGCAGGCCTTTTGTTGTCAAATGAGAAATATGATCTGTCAACTCAGAGATCTGTGGCATATGCCATAATGGCTTATTTCGGAGAATGAAAACAAAGATGCTGGTTGTATTTGTCTTGGTTTTACTTTTGCTGCCGTGAAAAACACACCAAGCAACGTGTAAGACCTATTCCTTTTGGAACGCTCCAAGTGGTTTTGCTTTCCCAAGCACGATCGTCGTAAAGAATATAATCGTTACCAAGACAAAATTATAATCAAACTGTACTCGATTTGCTATAGATGCTATAGATTGCAATCTCTAGAAACAATGCAAAAAATGCGTATGCCTGCATATTTCAGACAGTGAGGCACAGGTGCTCCGCAAACATCGATTCCCGGCATGTCTGCACCACTTCTTCCAGTGTTTGTTTTCTGTGCTCCACTGGGCTTCTTCAAGTGTTTTCTTCAAGTGTTTGTTTTCATGTTTACATGTCAGGAAGCAAACGTAGGACCCCAATGTCAAAAATTAAACTCCAAAAACATGCCCATTCCGTCAAAAAAGGCATATTCCCAGAACCAAACGTTGGATGATTGCTCGGTGGTTCCCTAGGAAATCACAGCCATTGTTGAATTTTTGGCCACGGTAGCGAAACTGTCAAGCCTTGGATCAGTTCATGGACTCTTTTTGGTTCCGGAATGGTTTCTACAGGTCAAACACGGATTAACCATGAAAAGATCTTTTGTTTGGAAGCTCCCTGCATTCTACATTCCAGTCATTTCCATTTTAGGGTCTTATGTTTGGAAATGCTGAATATTCCAGATAGTACAGATGCAAGTGATGCACGCGCAATTCAATACAAGCGCCTTAAGAGTCCAAAGAAGGGGAGGGATTGGCTACCAGACTTAAGGCGTTAACGCCCAACAGGAGAAGGGGTACCTATGGTTGAACGTTTTTTCTATTGATTTCCTTTTTTGTTTAACACCGACTACCGCTGTTTGTCGCGCATTCAATGCCCAATTGGGATGTAAAACCTGGAGGTTTCTACCGAATGCCATGTAACCCTCGATGTCAGAAGATGCGTCCATCCAAGCAGAAACAATTCATTTGTTGTGGAACGTGTCTGTTCCCTTGAATTGGCCCAGAGATGCAACCCGGAATCCCATGATCATCCATCAAAAAATCAAATTAAAGGACCGGATAACCCCACATGTTACCAACTTCTTTAGACTTAGACTGAGCATAGCAAAGCAAGAAGGGAAGAGGAAGTATAAGAGTGATGGAGCGGTGATGGTGGGTGAGTTTGTGTGTATGCATGTATGTATGTTCATGTACAGTGAGTGAGTGAGAGTGTGAGTGAGTGATGTGAGTTTGGTGTGTGTGAGTGAGGGATGTGAGAGTGAGTGAAGTGAGTGAAGTGAGTGAAGTGAGCGAAGTGAAGTGAAGTGAAGTGAAGCGAAGCGAAGCGAAGCGAAGCGAAATGAAGTGAAGTGAGTGAGTGAGTGGGTGAGTGAGTGAGGTAGGTGAGGTAGGTGAGGTAGGTGAGGTAGGTGAGGTAGGTGAGGTAGGTG